CTTGTTTATTCATGTCTTTCCTTTGAGTGTGCATGTGTGTTTGTGTGTTTGTTAACATGCTGCTATGCACCCTGCATTCACAATGCTAGTACAGTGTACTGGCATTGTAAATGCAGAGCTGCATAGCAGCCAAAAAAAATTTCTTGAAATTGTTTCACTGACGCCATAGGGAACAGCGTCAAAAAAATGGGAATCTTGGCGGGAATATGGGGGGGGGGGGGCGCCCAAACCACCAGGATAACCACCAGGGGAAGCGGCAATCCTATCCCCATCTCTCCAGGCGGGTATAATGCCCGCTTTTTATGGTCTCAGTGGCCGCCTGGATAGACGTCCACTCTGGACGTCTATAAGGCTGTCTTTAATGCGTAAATCCAAGCAGATAAGGGCCAAATTATTTGCTGGGTAGCCGAACCCCGTCTTTTTTTTGTGGCAGGTTTATGATTTTTGCGTGAAAATTAGCAAATTCAGAGGAATAATTTCAACTTGGTTTTGTAACTATAACGTGCAGTCTTTCCATGAGTTTTCCAATGAGAAAAATGTCGAAAAGTTGGAAGTAAGGATTATGATATGTAATATATTTATTGAGCAATGGGAAAACATTTTCTTTTTCAATTGCACAAATATAAGAGAATATAGACGTCACTTCACTCGAGAAACCACAGGCGAGACTCTTCAAGTTCTGTACTGTACTGCATGCCTTCGTCGTCGGAGTCGATGATTTTTTGTTGTTTTTCTTCTTCCTTTGAGGAACAGCACATCGGATTTGTGGCAGCAGTATAATCCGAGTCAAAGTTTTCCATCATTTGGGTTGCACTGATGGAAATTCAGCATAATGGCTGCATTCCGTGGAGCTGGCATTCGTCTACAACAGTACAATGCTCTTTATACAAGGAAGCTGAGAATTTTTGACATGACAATTGAACGGCTAATCCAATTTTCAAGCAACGAATGAGTTTATTCTTATTTTCATTTTCACAATGAAAACAAACTTGACTTCGCTAGAAAAGTGGGACTTGTTCAATAAGTATTGTCAATGTCTTCAAGTCAATGATCTTTTGTCTTTTCTTCCAGCAGGAGCACATTGGATTTGTGGCAGCAGCAGTAATCCGAGTCGAGCTTTTCATCAACTATGGGTTGCACAGGAAATTCAGGTTATTCAGCAATGGCTGCATCCCCGCGGGAACTCGTATTAATTGGTCCTTCACATGAGCATCATCACTCATTATATACTTCCGAGTCCTGCGCTGCGTTCTTAATTCAACTGGATCAAAGAACATCCTCCAACTGGACCAAACGATCACCCTGTCCGGGTACTTATTTGAAATCACCTGATGGAGACTTTGCTGGATGTAAGTGTCAATATCCAACTTCCAAAGTCAAAAAAGATACCATACTAAATAAATACCAATTAGTTGAAATTGAGTTATATAGACAACTCCAGAAACAGCATGAATAAGGAGGGTATTATTGTTGTGTGAGTTGTTTGCTATAAGGTGCGCTGTTATATATAGGGAGCATTATATGGTTAGGTTCAAAGTGATTCAAATCAACCTGAGGGAAAACAATATACATATATATAGTCCAGTGATGAGTAACAGCAGCCAACTGTTGTTGAATATCAGTCTCAGCTCTTTACTAGAATTAATGTGGCTGCTTTAGAGTAAATAGTTCCCTGTACTTCTTAGCTGTGGAAGCTATATATCCAGGGAGCTGAGGATAACTCCAAAATGGATAATTTCTCAGGAGCTGCTGTTGATTGGTATAGGGATAAATGAAAAGTAAAGGGAGCTATATCCATGGATTAAGCCATCACTATGGATAAAACTCAATAATTTGCTCATTGTTGATTATTGCTGGTCTCTGCCCAATAGCCCATATTGTTGAAACTATGCTTTCATGAAAATTTTTGGTTTGTTTCAGAAAAGGTTTTTCACAGCTGGCCCAAACGGGCTTGTATTGTGACACGATTTCACTTTCTTTAAATTTATGGACAATTATAAACATTTGTTTTCATTAAAAAATACCTATCCCAAATTCATCATTTCCTTAAAACACGCAAGTGGGGAAATTGGTGCACATGCACTGATATGTTTTTAATTCTACACAGTGACCCTGCCATGCACATGAAGTGTACCGAAGTTCTTGTGTTGCACATATGCATATCCCTAATGTGCCCCAATTGTGTGTTCACACCAGGATTACTCAGGATGACATTTGTGAACAAATAAGTTACACCAATAATGTTACAGTTGGTGAATTTGTGTGATATTCCTGTTATGTCACATTTGTGCACCAAATGTAGCCCAGCAGGAATGGTAGCAACATTTTGTCTACAGAAGTGCATGCTTGTAACACCAGGATAGCCCATGTACACCAATTGTGACCCCAGTGTGCATCACCATTTTTGGAGTCACACAAAGAATAGCTCCCCATTTGGGCAATAACTCAATCTAAATCAGCGTTAGATGATAAAAACGTGCTAATAGTAATAATTTCATTCAAAACGCTTGGAAATTAGCATTTGATTTGAGTTTTGGGTTCAATTTTTGATAAATGTATAATATAGAATTGGGAAACGCACCTCGTTTCTGTTGATTTATTTCCATCTGTTGCCCCCGAAATGACAGCCAAACACAGTGCCTATATATATATATACCACTAGCCCACTCAAAAAAAAAAAAAAAAAAAAAAAAAACCCTTGTGCCTATACTGCAGCAACATTATATTGAGAAAGGGATCACAGAGACAGATTTTGTTGCATTTCCCGATCACTATTTTTTTTTTATTCCCCCTGCTGGTGGGTTTTTCAGGATGTTTCATTTTCAGGGACATCAAGTATCTTCAGAGTACGTCAGAATTTTGAAATTTTTCTTTTCATTTTTCATTCTTACTATTGTTATTTGTTATGGTTGAATGATATTAGAGCCATTTTGTTCATGAAACTTGTTGAAGTATATACTAGCAGAAAAGTCGAGTCGAAGATGTTTCTTCTTTTCTTTCAGAGGATCAGATTGGATCCGTGACAGCAGCAGTAATCCGAGCCAAGTGTTTCATCAACTGGGTTGCACAGGAAATTCAGCAATGGCTGCATCCCGGGGAACTGGTATTGGTCCTTCACATGCATATCATCGCTCATAATAGTCCCGAACCGTCCGGTATTTTTGAGCTGGTCGAAGAACAGCCTCCAACTGGACCATACGATCACCGTGTCCCGGTACTTATTTGAAATCACTTCGAGACTTTGCTGGATGTAAGTGTCGATGTGTTTGTTGAACGGAATCAATTTGCCGTGCATCGTTTCGGGAAGAATCCAGATGATGGTCTCTATTTTCCAGAATGTGATGAGGTGGTTCAGCAGTCTGTCGAGTCTTTCTTTGTGTACTTCAAGTTTTACCGGTATAGGAAGATGTGTCAGGTCAAAGTACCGGTCTTTGTAGTATGTCCAATCCTCCGGTGGACGGCTATACCACACTGCACCTCCAAACAGGACTGTGCGTGTACCTTCAGGAAGCTGATGAAAAAGAAACCGAGTACATGTGTATACGTGAGACAGTTTTATATAGACAATCATATATTGAACCTTCATTCAATTACCTTTATTATGCTGTATATCTTCTAGAGATTGTGCATGAATAATCAAATGCTATCTCAGCATATACTTCATAAAAAACATAAAAAAAATTGTTGAACAGGGCTGATATTTTTTTTGCGCCAAAGAATATGTTTGCCCTAAAGAATGATTTTTTTTCATCTGGATTAGACGCCATTTTCATTCTCATTCTGAGAACTTTCGTTATAGATCCCTTGTAAATGCGTACAGTTTTACATATGTGATTGTAATAGCACTTGCTCGCGGAAATTGAAGAAAATTGTACGGATCACTTTATTTATTGTTCTGCAGTAAGTGTATACCTTCATGTAGGGGTTGAAGTAGGGATTCAGAAGGTAGTCGATGGTCGTGTTTGAGTCTGCATCATCCCAGTGCATATTGATCACCATTCTGAAATCGTGGCAATTGCCCTTGCATTCCAATGTGAGATTGAAGAACTTTGCCAGGGCAATGGCCTTGTTCCGAACGGTGGAGTCTCCGAAAAAGAAGAAATGGTTGTTGAGCTTGTTGGCGAATCTGCGCTTGAGACACGATCCCGAGTCCATTTGCGGGAAAATCTTGAGTTTGCAATGTGACAATTCCCACTTGAGATCACTTTTCAAGCTGCCGTTGCTTTGAAACACACCCAGGCATTTTTCGGTTTCATTCACTCGGTTATTATTGCGATAGTTGAAGATTCTCCAGGAAGATGTAAAATATGCGAATGACAGTAGTAGCGTGATGCTCAGCAGTTTCCTTCTTTCCATTATTTTCGACATTTCCATTGTTCCGAGTACCTTGAGAATATGTTTTTCTTTCTATATCCTGATGAATTCTGTGTGGATTTGTTAAACCCTGCTGGAGCTTAATAATCTTATTGCTTTTTCAGCAGTGACTTGATCGATCCCTCTGTTTATCCCAGCGTGCGGGTGTTTTGTAAGGAGATGAAATCACGGGGAGATTTGCCTCAATCGTGTACCTTTTCACCACCACAGAAAAGACTGTAAAATAACTATATGTTATTCACTGATGTAACACGGGATTTTCTGTATACTTTTTTGTTGGCCTGTTATTGGTGCCGGTCAAGAACGCATGTTCAAAGAGGGGTTATTTTTCTCAATCCGAAAGTTAAAATAATCCAACACTGTCAATTCCACACACAAGAAATATTCATCTGGAATGAAACACCATTTGTGCAAAATTCAGGTAAAATTAATATATGATGCTTCTCCTGCTGTTCAGAACCACAAGAGAGACAAATTTTGGAGGGGATATATTTCTGCTCATTGTGAGCTGCTGTATATATACAGTCAACCCCCATCTAACGGACTTGATTTGTGCAAGGAACAAGTCTGTTAGCTGAAAAGTCTTTTACATGAATTCAATTACATAAAAAATTAAAAATTTCAATTTTCAACACTAATTTAAAACCAAAAGAAGTCTGTTTGGAGGATTTTGTCTGTTGGGCTGGAGGAAAAACTGCTTGCAGAGCTGGTCTGTTTGGTGAAAATCCCTTACACAGGAGGTCTGTTAGGTGGGGGGCCACTGTATATATATACTGTATATAGGAACTGATGGTTTCCTCTTCTTAATAATTTGCAAAACAAACCTGAATATATGGATTGAGGTACAAGTAGGGATTCAGAAGGTATATAGGGAATGGTTGAGGACAAGGCTTTATTCTCCCAGTGCATATAGCCATGTTGCTGCCAAAATCAAAAACACTTTTCTGCACTGATCAGAGTAAGACTAAATAATTTTGCCAAAGCTATTGCTTTTGCCCTCCCAGTGGAGTCCCCAAAGAAGAAAAATGCGTTTTTCAGTTTGTGTGTTTCTCTTTGCTTCAAACATGATTCTTGATGGTCTACTGTTATTGGGTATATCTTCAGCTTGCATTGTGACAATTCCCAGCTGAGATCATTGTTGAGGCTGCCATTGCTTTGGAAAACGCTCAGACACTTTCCCTGCTGTCCATGGCTTTGATTGACAATCTTATAATGTTTCCAAGAAGTGTTCACATACCCCGATGATTATAGAAAGATGGACATTAAACTTGATGGAATCAAAAATTTCTTGAATATGGCTGCCAATTTCTGCTGGCCACCATCATAATTCAATTTCTCCAACATTTTTCTTTGCCTTCAAATTTGTTAAGATTTAATTGAATCAAGTAATCTGGAAAGGTTCATTTTTAGCATACATTTTTCCACTCCCCCGGCTGAAGTGAGGATACAATTTCATTGATGATGTGAAGTGTTGTGATTATAAATTTTGACAGATGAGTTATATTTATTTTGATAGATAAAAAAGAAGTGCATGCATGAATCAGGGCTGTTTAGAAAACCCGCCCTTATCATATGTATATGAACATTTAAATTCCATAAAATCACACATGGTGGGAAGCCTTACATTTTATATGGAATCAGAAGTGTTAAGAAATGTAATAATAATATTTGAAATAATCTGAATGTATTAAATACCTGCATTATAGTTGTAAATTTAGCTATGATATCAATAAGTTGTTGTCAGCTGTTTTAAACGTGCTCTAACTTTCCTTCGCCCCTCACCCCACTCATTAATGTGTGTGGCCGCGCATGCGTGTGCAACTGAGTTTCCATTGTTACCTGCCCTAATTGCAACTCTCCCCAGGCGGTTGACCACCCCATAAATTATTAACATATACTGTGTTGCGGAATCTGTGTGTGTCTCCTTTCTTTGTCTGGCTGGATGGCCATCACCGAGCAATGACCTTATACTGTCTGGTTCTTTTCAGAGTTAATAAAAGGCCTTGTATGGCCCAGTGGACTTCAGTGGTAGAGAAACCCTCAGAGAGGACCAAGTCTGTGTTAGGCTGGTTAAGATATCGCGTATATCTTGGAACTGAATATACACTTGTAAAGTCGATCTTGCTTGTGTTATTATTTCTCAGTTGTCTAGAGTACTTAAAGTACTTGGTCTAGGTTCCACCTGGTAAAAGAGGCTTGAATCTTTAAATCAATTGTCTGCACGTTTCTATGGTCATCCTCTTAAAGGTTTTCAATACAAAATTAAAATTTGTATTGATTGTAAAACCCACAGTGTACAACAACAAAATTGGTGCAGTCAGTATTCCTCTTTTGTGCCGCATGAGTGCTGGTCAGACCAGTTTTATACTAAAACCTTGACCCCACTTAATGTGGAAGACAACTGAGTGAGAAAAGGGAAAACTATCGCAAAAAAGTCTGAGTGACGATCAAGTTCTAAGTGATCTTGTCAACGGTTCTTAGTGAGCTTGAAACAAAAAAGCCTTAGTGGCTAAAAAACGGCACGTCTGTGTGAGTGCTAAAAGAGCACGTCTGTGTGATTGCTAAAAAAGGGATTTGCCTTAGTGGCTACAAGTAAGCACGTCTGTGTGAGTGCTAAAAAATCCTAAGTGGATTTCCGCCTAAGTGGTGAAGAGCATATCTGTGTGGATGCTAAGTGCTTGAAAACGTGAAGGATGGTGTCAGAAATCAGAAAAGGCGACGACCACCTTGAGAGCAGACCTCCCCAACAGAAGCTTTGACTCAAAAGGACCACAGGTTTTTATATTATATATCCGAAAGATAGAAAAAGCAAAAAAACAAAAAAAGAAGTATGTAAGTGAATTGCTGAGAGTGAAATTAATTCGTAAATCATTCTTATAAAAAGTGTAAGTGAGTAATACATGTCTAATAAAAAGGAAGAAACCTCAAGTGTACATAACTCTAATACTCCCATTAAAACTAGTACTTGGAAGGCCACTGAATATAATTGTAATTTAATTGAGAAATTATTTGCTAGTGCTTATGGACCAAATAGCCAAAATCAAGGAAGATACACCTCAACAGAAACCAACTCCCCTACTTATGTACAATTAGCGTGACAAACAGACTTTGAAACACTGGAAAAAACCCAAGATAGGTTAAACAGGGATCCTCAGGGACTAAACAACGAATAATCTTTAAATTTATCTAATTTAGTTAAAGGTAAAAAAGCTATGGCTGTACCAGGAGCTGAAGCATCAGGAGACCTTATTTCCCTAGCTGAAAATAATCCACCTTCTATACAACCCACTAAAATTCCTTTGAAAATCCCCGAGAGTGCTCAAATCCCGCAAGATTTACTCTCTTCTTTAGGAACAACTCCAGATCCTAAACCATCAACCTCTTTTCAAGCTTCTGGTATCATTTCAGAGAATTATCAAGCTAATAACCTTCCTGCCAAATATTTAACCTTTACACCTCAAAAACAGGCGGCATACTTGCAAAGAACAATTAACGAGACACGCAAAAATATTATTAAATATAGAAATGAACTCCCTAATGCTAGTGCTAAAAGAGCGGATGCTATAAGACACCAAATCATTCAATTTGAATCTAACATCAAAGACCTATCAGATATGGAAAAAGATATTCAAGATAATATAAAAATTATTGCTGATGCCCAAAAGGCATTAACAGAGAAAAATAATATTCTGTTGTCTAGAATGTTACAACAGCAAGCTGCCAAAAGAACTATGAAACTGAATGAATCCAGTGAGATGAGGAAATCAGTGCTTTCCAATACTTTAATGGGAACTCTAGAAACTCCCACGCCCAAAGAAATGGTAATATGGAATCAAACACAAGGACGGGCCTCTATAGCTAGTAATCCTCAGACCACTAATGCTTTTATTAATAACAAGCCATGCTTCTCAGGAGAATGTAACTCCATATCATGGAACTCTTGGTATTCACGTTTCTTGGTAACAGTAAATTCTAACCCGTTAAATGATGGACAAATAAAAAATCTGTTGATGTCTAAACTTGAAGGAAAGGCCCAGAAATTAATTGAAGCCGACAGAGATTTATTCTAGAAACCATACCATGTAATAATTAAATTCTTAAGAAAAATTTATGACACAGATGATTTAACTGATGGCTTTGCATCCCTGGATTACATTAAACAGGAGGAAAACAAAAATGTAAGAGATTTTGCCTTGAGAATGGATTTGGCTTCTTCAAAATTAGATGCCAAACATACGCCTGAAATTAAAGTCTTGTGAAAAGATGGCATGAGAACTTTAATCGCAAATCCTATGTACAAACACGAAGAGATTTGCCCTCAGTGCCGTAGTTCGTTCCTGGCGGAAATTAAATTAAATAAGTTCATTAAAGGGCTATTGCCCATTATACAAAAAAGAATGTCTGAGGTTCCAGATACGTATAAAGAAGCAGTCAAAAAGGCAAGGAAAGCCGAAAAAATTCTTATAATGACAGGCAAACTTTCTTATGCCTGTGAAATGTTTGCTATTTCCGCCAATCCCAGTAAAAATTATTCTCAACAAAATAACCCAAAGAGAAATATTTCTGGTAAAAGTAAAAGTAATCCCGTTCCATTAAGCTCTCAAATGTGTTATGCCTGCGGAAAATACAGTCATTATGCTGCAGACTTTACAGGCAATAGGAATCCCCAGCAGCAAAACTGAACTCAATATAATAATAGGCCAATAGTAACCAACCAAAATTACCAAAATTATCAACAGGCTTACCCTCCTCCTCCTCCGCGCATACCCTATTGTTGAGTAGATGGAAGAATGTGTGCTCCATGGATGAATCGACCTACTCCGAGTTGTTCACCTATTCAACCAGCACAAATGGCATCCGGGCAACAGCTTAGGCCCCAAGGGCATTCAACCCAAAATAGTAATGTGGGACGCCCCCCTGCTTGTGGGTATCCTTCTCTTAGAAGGGGCACCCCAAGGCGATTGTGCTGCCCAGCTGGCAGAAGAGGAGGACCAGTAAGAAGAAATAATAATATTACTGTACCACATGACGATTTGGGAGAATACTCTGAATTTAACAATCATTCGTATAACGCAATTGAAAATTGTCTTCTATTAGACAAATATCCTCCCAAAGAGATAGAATATCTAAATCCAAAAGATCAATATTATCAACGGTACTATCCAGACAAGGAAGATAATAATTATGGTGAATATGTTGAATGTAGCTATCCCAACAACACTTCCGAACGATATGAAGATCCTTATGAAGTAGAATGCAACAATGTGCAAAAAAATAGTGAGGGAAACAATTACTAACTGGGAGTGCAAAAGTTTTGCGACTTCCAGTGATACCTGTCTCTTTCAAAAATAACGATGCTGAAGTTAAATTACTAATAGATACGGGATCAGA